ACGGTATGTCTACTTGACTTTCCTCCTTCCGCTGCCGGCTATGAAGTACATAAGTTGGCCAAGTACAACTTGTGTACTCTGTTGTAGAGTTGTTTTCAACACGTCCCCGCCAGCTGTGCATCTCATTTCAAGTGTTGTAAATATCTTCGACGTCAACAAACGGTTACCAGTCGTCTCGGCGATGCTGACGTTTCGTACCACACCCTTGCTTAGCAAAAGACGCGCAGTTTGAGGTATAGCATGCCTCCACTGGCCCCGGGGATGGTGAGCTATCGCCCGCTGAATTTTAAGGACGCAACCCCGCGATAAGGACGCATTTTTTCGGGGAAAACCATGTGCGTCCTTAAAGCGGGGTCGACTGTAGCGGCAACACGACGCCAGCGAACGCCTAAAAATGGGTGGGACTACCTGCGGAGAAGATTGATTAATCCACACCTGCAATGAGTCACAATTGGCAACAACAATAGCGTTCCAGCAGTAGCAGTCGCGCGGACAGCGTCTAATCATCATCTACGCCGCGGAACTCACCCTTCCGTCTCGACACCGGATGCCTTGGAGCACAGCGGGCGCCCCACACCACATGCATGCAAAACGCGCAGTAGGCGCGTGCTCCGTGGCGCAAACATGGGGTGCGCGTAACTCAGCGGTGTCAGGTTCCGGCACAGAAAACGCGGAAGCAGCCCTGCCGCCATTCTCAGGCAGCAAGACTCGACCGCGGGAGCAACGGGGTCGGGGAGAGTTTGCGCCGCCGCTCTTGCCGAGCGGGTCTGATCGGTGTATTTAGAACCAAATTCTGGAACCGTTTGCAAAGATACCACACCCCCCGGGCCATGATGTACTCTGCCGAGACATGTGACGGGACCAACAATGGCGGTGTTGGGACCGCTTTATCGAGGGCTTTCCGAAAACACATCTGCTCAGTGTGGCATCATGTTCGTCGTGGACTAATCGAGCTTTACCATCCGGCGGGGAGGGTACCTGAAAAACTACGCGGACTAGTCTCGTATAAATATAAATATAATATATAATATAGTCGACTAGTCTAGAGATAAGAGCGCTGCCCGCAGAGGACTTTTGGTATACTACTGCAGCGAGATTTGAGTTGCGCTGATGCGCTGATGTCCCTGGCAATACAGTCTGTATGTATGCCTACATAATGCGCCACCAGTTAACCGCCTTTGTTAGTCGAGACTCGGAGTCTTGGTTCCATTGTTTCATGAATCAACAACCGCTACATACATGGAAGAGGATTTGGTGTGGAGTCTACAATTTGTTTCCAGGCACCACAAAAAAGAGTCCTGGCTTTCTTACCCAGGTTCTGAGACTGGTCTAAGTGGTGGCAAAGTCGGCATTTGAGGAGATGTTTTTTCTTCGTACAGAGAAGCAAACAAAGAGCGGATTCACTTCCATCCATTGATAAAAGAGTCCGGCAGGATTGCGTTACCGACCGTCGGAACGACAACAACATATATTGGCGGCATGTCATGGACTGCAAGCACGATCGAACGACACAAAACGACCTTGGAAGGGGCGGGCCGGCCACATGAGTGCCTGCGCTGAATGGCATGCCACGCTCTCGTGAACTGGTTCCATTGTAACAAGGGAGTGAAATCATGATCGCTCATGGTTATCTTAACCTTTCGGGGTATGTGCCACCTCGGCAGAATACAACAAAGAACGACCTCCAAGAGCTGGTAAGTGTCCACACCATCAAGGTCAAGACAGAACATACCAAATCACTACAGCCCCCGGAGCCCAACGGACACGCTGCACACAAAGCACGCAGAGTCACTGAATTGCTTCCAAAACCGGGCGCCTGCACTACTACTGTCCGGCAAGATTCCTCAACAAACGGTACTCCGCAATGAGCGTCAGCAACCAGTCGTCCACGCTCTTTAAAAGCGAAAGACGATCACTACTATATCATGAAACGTTCACCCACATGCAGAGCACACTCTATCCCCCTCCTGGACAGTACAGTACTCTCCACAAGTGCACAACTTTCCTCCCAAATGGACAAACAAAGTAATTGTTTTCGGTCCCGCACGTGCATGTTGCTCCCCCTCCCCCCTCCCCCTACCTGCCTTCTGATTGCACATACAGACGCCCCTTTCCAACGAGCGTTGCTGCACTGTGAAGTACGCGTAAATCCTGTGACTCTTTCCGTGAGCAAATTTCCACGGACTGTTCTCACAAGAGATACACACGCTACAATCATGTAGTCTACGTGTGCATAGCATATTTAAGTGTCCTGCCATGAGGCATGAGGCAAAGAGGGAGGCGACGAATCACACTCTCCATCCCGCATCGTGTCTCCGTCGCTGCTATTTGCTCATGAGCCCGCGGGGTGGCGGCGACGGCGCATCCAACACGAGGGCGAGGAGGCCACCATGTGTAATCTAGGCCCTCATCTCTTGTCGCTGGGTTGTCACAACACACGGGGGCGAGAGGGGGCGGGGATAGTTAGGTTACGGCACAATCAAAACTCGCAAACCCTACATCAACACAAGAAATAAATAACCTCCTTGTGTACTGTGTACACCATTGTTCAACAAACTACTCGGTTCTCTTCTGGGCATGAAGAAACACCAACAGCGGGACTGACATTCTCTTTGGTGTGTGAAGCAAGGGCGGACCATTACCACTAACCTTACCGCCCAACCTACACCCTTTTTCTTGGCTAAGGCGCATGGGTCAAATATACGTTTGAAAAGTTCATCCAACAGCTTTGCTGGCGCGATTCTTTCCAATACCGTATGTGGGTAGGGGACACTACGCCTCCTCACCCGTCAGGAGAAGCAGGGGTTGTGTGCCGTAGTTTTCCCCAGTCGCGACCTTTGCCTTCGTCCCTGACATCCGAAACGTACGGACACCGATCCAACACGCCGACGCAGAAAGTCAAGGTGAGTGTCTCATGCTTCCTTTAACGGGGCGAACAGAAAACAAAAAACGAAGTGGCCGAGGCTCCCAACACAACAGTTTCACAAACCTCCCGGAAACAAAAACCCGTCCGAACTCAGGCTCCCGACACCTCGAACTCCATTAAACCATACACACGCGCATGCGCACGCATCCGGTAGGCCCTCTCGCAAGCAGACAATCCACATCGTCACGCACGTGGAGAAGATGCACCGAGGTCAATACCCTTCGCGTCCAATGTACCGTAGGTAGGCCATTGGCGGCTCCGTTCCAAACGCGCAAAAAATATACGGTATTTGTTCGTGTCTTCCTTGGGTCAATCTGTACAACAGAAATACAAAACGAGAAGGCTTCCGCCGACGGCCTAGGAATGCGCAGACCCGAACAGTCCATTTCGGTTCACCGCTCATGCTGACGGTCGCGAGGGATGTTCTAGAGTGGCATTCGCCCTTCATGCACACGCACAAAATTCCAAGCAGTCTACACCCATGTATTTCTCGGGAGCCCATTGTGCTTCAAAATTGATTCAGCTGGTGACAATGTTAAGACTGGTCCCATTGATGGTACCAAGTCTTGTAAACGGAGAAGACAGGGCAGCAGAAACGACGATTAAGTTCAGGTACACCTAAAGGAAAGAATGACGAAGAGGAGAAGAAACAACGCGGGAGAGCAAGTACATAATGAATACAAGTGCCGCAGCGGATGCCATGTAACGGTCACCACACCGCTCAACGCACTGCTGGACGCACACGTACGATAAAACCTATTCCTCCCTTCAGCCACGCGCATGGATTGATGTCCCAATTATAATCCCAAGGCTACTCACAAGGACGATTGACGCTCCAGGCGCTCGAGCCCCCCCCCTCCTCCCTCACGGGGCCTCCTGTGGTCCCCCCCCGCGCCGCCATCCCCCCCGCCGATCCCCCTCAGACCACCTCCAACGCCCGGAGGCGGGCCCGGGCGACGGAGCCTTCCCCAGTCTCGATCGGTAGTGTCTCTGTCCCGGAATTCCGCGCGATCACGGAACGCCGGGTCGCCCCGCTCCCTGTCCCGGTCTCTGTCCCGGTGGCTGGTCGGGTCTTTCCGCACCTGTTGTTGACGTTGTTCCATGGGCGGTACGGTGTGCCATGTTGACAGTTACGATTGTTTTCCTTCGTTTTGTTGTACGTACGGGGACGTGTTGTTTGCCTCACGAGGGGCGGGGCACTGGAGAGCGGGGTGGGCGTGGGAGGAAGCTACACCGAAGGGGAGAGAGGGCACCAACCCTCAGAGCGCCACGTACCGTGACCCGTACAGTGCCGGGTGCCCGTAAATGGTGCCGTTGTCTTCGACTCGCACGCACTGAACACCGAGACGTTCTGTGCTTTGAATAGTGCCAGTGTCCGGTATAGCGCCGGTACAATCTCTGGACACATTCCGGTACAACAGGCCCAAGAAGCCCAGTGCGGTACCAAGAAGACGGAGAGGGACACCCTGTCATCCATGAGCACCCCTGTGTGCCGTTACAACCCCATGTCCCACGACCACCCCTGTGCTTCATGAATAACCCTGTGTTCATGGACACCAAGACAAAAGCCGAAGCGACAATAAACACCGCCTTTCTCGCACGTATGCTCGAGTAACGATGCCTCCAAAAACAACAAAAACAGCGGCAGCGAGGTGGCGAATGTATACAGAAGCACGAAATACGCGCAGGTAAAAAACGTTATTTTGAAGCAGAATCGCTCCCTCCTTCTCCTACTTTTGTGTCTTGTTCAGAGTTAAGACAGAAACGTTCAAACCCCAATGCAACAAAAACCCACGCACACACCTTCCCCCACTTCTCCAAGTCCTTCTCGCGATCCACGCGGTCCCCCCGCCCGAATCCTTTCCCGCCGCCGTCCCCCCTTTCCCTATCCCCCGCCCCCCCTCCCCCACCGTAGTCCTTGCCCGCCCCTCCTCCCCCTCCCGCCTCCTCCGCCGCCCGCCGCTCCGCCCACCTCCCGGGGGGGGGACGGAAGCCCCCCATTCCCCCCCCGCCGGCCCCTCCGCGGAACCCCCCGGCGTCGCGGTCTCGGTCCCTTGCCTCCGGCGGCCCCCTGGCCCAGGTTTCCTGAGGCATTCCGCCGCCGGCCGCGGGTGCGGCGCGTTCTCCGTCCTGCGGGTGAAAAACGCGGCGGAATTGTTTTCGTTAGGCTTGCGTTTCGTATTCTCACACGAGGAGTGGGAATTGCCTCGCGCTTTCGACGGCGCACGGAGTAAATAAGGTGTTTATTGTCTGCGTGCCTCGTTCTGTCTTACCGCGAGTGGATCGAACACAGCGGAAAGGCCAGGCCACACAACGCGAGGGCTGCCGGGCGATAAGGAGCTATTCTGCGTCTCGACAACGTGCAAATCGCGGGATCGTTTTGTGTTGTGTCATAAGGCGGAAACGCTGCAATGGGGGCAAATTCAAGAGGGCTCCTGCGGGGAGGAGGGGAGCGGGACTCATAAATGAAGTACTTCGTAAGAATATAATATAGTTGCTGCGATGGCAAGCGTGTTGACCAATCTTTGCAGCGTAAAAACCGCAAGGCGTGTTGCCGATCAGAACGGCTAGATAACTGTACACCACCTGCGCTCTCAGAACACACGCAAAACATACCGCGACTCCCACTCAAGTACACGCATCCAATCCACGGAACCTGACCCATATTCCAATCACCTTGTGGTGATGGTCATCCCCACGATCACCCATCCCGCGCGGGCCGCCACCCCTACTGTGGCGTGTCCAGGCGCCGCCGGGGGGTCCGCCTCGGGGGCCGAAACCCGGGGATGCAGCCGGAAATCCCCCCCCTCCTCTTTCCTCCCTCACGCTGGCCGCCCCGAGATTGTCCTGGTGGCGCCTGTACTCCACCTGTGGTGTTCACATCCAGACATTTTCAGAGGGGACGGGGGACGGGGGACGGGGTGATATTCAACGTCGCAGAAAGGAACCACGGCAACCTTTGGTTGTAGGCTCTGCGGTAGGTACTGGCTCGACAGCACAAATTTATCGAGACGGCAGTTTGTGTGTGGCTAACGGTGGCTTAGTGTTGGATCGACCAGCAACGCCCCTGCCGCGATGATAACGACGAAACACAAATCACCTCACGACACCTATGATATGATATGCCTTGTCGTCGCTCTCCACACAGTCAAGGACTCGCGGCGACAACGACAACCGCGAGCGCTCTGGAGCAGGATGCTGGCATTGCTTGGGCTAGTCGCACCCTTTTCCCTTTCCGCTCGCCCTCTCACTCTCGCTCCCCCTTGTGTGTGTACCCCTCACACCGCTAGGTGCGACCCCCCCCCCCCCCCCCCCCCCCCCCCCCCCCCCCCCCCCCCCCCCCCCCCCCCCCCCCCCNAAACACAAGAACAGCAACAAAACGGGTCATTTTTCGTTTCACCTAGAACGAGAAGACGTCACATCAACAACAACGACATCGATGGGTCTAAAATATCAAGAAAACAAAACAAAGACACTTTTCGTCTAACCTGCCAACCGGGAGATATCACCACCAACGACAACAACGACCCCCCCCCCACCCCCAATGTCTCAACGACTATGAGTACCCCCCCACCTGCACGAAGGGCGGTATCTGAAGGAGGCGCTTGACGGTGTCCCGGATCTTCTCGATGCCCTCGGTGTTGGAGGCGGAACGGTTCCACACCGATATGACGTCCTCGCTGTACCGTACAGACACCACGGCGCCGCAGATCTCGTTGCCGACGTCGAACTGCTCCCCGATGATGGCCAGCACCAGGCTCTCCCAGGCGCGGCTCGCCAGCCCCTTCTTGAGGCGTATCAGCAGCTGCCCCCCTCTCTGGGATAGGCAGGCCGCGCCCAATCGAGGAATGGAGATGGGAGAAGATTAAGGGGCGGGGGGCTTGGCGAAAGTGGTGGCACCCGATCTGTCGGATCCGCGGCCGTAGGACTCTTCGAAGCAAACAAAAAACACTACGAGACGACCATGATGACATTGAAGAGATGCAACGGAGATGAAAGAGAACACAGCAATATGCAACCCGTTACCAAAGGAAGCTACAGCATCAGCGACTCCGATCGTATCTCGATACTTGCAACGTTTTCAGAGTTCGTTCCAGAGTGTTGAGAGCATCAACTATCTCGCGCTTCGCCGGCTGCCGCGGTGTCGATCGGACCGACCAGCTATGCCAAACGCTGCAGCCACCAACCGTCGTTCCCTCACCGAATTGGAGGCGTCTTCCCAGGTGGGCTTGATGCCGTCCCTGAACAGGTGAACATCGGTTGCGTTAGGCACCTGAAGGAAGAACGCGAGGAAGAAAGCAAGCAAGGGCGGAAAAGAATAACAGGCACCAAAAACAAGACAAAACAAGAAAGACAGTTTTGAGGGCACGTGACGGATGCGGGAGACAGCCGAAAAAGTTTTGTAGACTGCTATCAACACGCAGTGGTGATCTCTCATACGCAGCGGGAACAAAGACAAAGAAGTAAGCTGTGACATGAGTCCGGGGCACCGTCGGAAGGGCCAGCGTATAACGCTTAGGCTGCTACTGATACTGGTGCTATTTACCTTGCCCCGAATGCATAACCACAGAGCAAATGGCAATGTCGTGTCGAAAGCTGATGGCAGGCCACCGACGGAGCACTGTAGTGGACAAAAAAAGTCACCATCGTACATACTGCTTTACGGCTGTCAGAACAACAAAAACTATCATACACATACAGTACCGTGTTACAGTTGTCAGATATTCCGTAGAGACTCGCACAAAAGCCACACTTGTATCATCTGCACACCTGGTCGGCGCGGAGGATGTGGTTGTAGATGCGCCAGAAATGCTCCACCGTCTGGAAGCTGTCGACGACCTTGATGCCGCTTTCGTACGCCTCGCTGGGGTCCTTGCTCTCCTTCTGCGCACCCTTCCGGTAGTACCAGAAGCAGTACCGGTTCTGTCACCACCAACCGAGAAGAACATGCGAGGGAAAGAAGGTAGAGTGGTGTGCGGTATATTATCGCCTACACGTCCGCGGGGTGTGGTAGGCGTGTTCTCTACCGGGCAAGCGACGTGCCTCGCGGAGAATACGCAGGACATGTCAGAAAGGTATCCCAGGACCGCCAGCTACTTGAGAATATCCCCGTTTGCTCGCGAGATCAATTGTCGCCGTGTTTGCTTCGCACCTATTCGTTTGTGCGGTCGTAACTCTGGGTCATTCTAGGTATGTAGTGACGTTTACAAGGGGGGGATTGGTCGGTCTCAGAAAACGAGGCGGCGGTGAACATCAGGGCCAGACGACCATCTACGTGAGCACAAGCAAGCGAACAGCCAGCGCATCTCCGCTACGGATGCCACTTCATCGGTAGCACGGTTGTGGTCCTTGAGGGAGAAACATTTACCATCAGCAGAGCTCCTTCCACCCGGGGAAGGCACTGATAGGGAAACCTTGAAGGGCTCCGGGCGAGCAAGTCTCGAACGATGCCAGTGTCGAAGCCGAAACAACACGACAGAAACGCCGTTGAACGCACACACGTGCCGCCGGCAACCTACAAACGCCAGACTTTGTTACAGCAGCCACGGAACACCAACCTGTATGAGCGTCTGGCGGGTGCCTGTTGGATCCTCCGGCTCGTTGTACAGGGACTCGTACGCCGGTCCGCTGACGCTATCGGCGAGGCCGTCGGTGGCGGCGGCACCGCCGCCGCCGCCGTTGTTGTTGGAGTGGTCTCCCGCTGGTGGCTCCAGGGACGAGTGCAGATGCCCCTCATCGGGACTAAATACAACAGACAGCAGCAACGAACAGCAGTCAACGTACTCCCAAGTTTTGTCACCCACCTTTCAAGTGCCCTACAGGTAAACAAGAGGATTCGGGGGCGAGCTGGAGGGCGGGGAGGCGCCAAGATCTTCCCGATAGGGCGACAAAGCATCCAAGAAAACTATTATCAGGGTGTAGAATGACGTGATAAACCGATGGTAAAAAATTCAAATGAAAAGTTGCAACAGGTAGCAGGGAAGGTCCCTCCCTGCCTCCCCGGGACGGGCTAAATACATCGAGAGAGCGTCTTACGCCCCAGCCGGCTTCATTCCCACGAGCGAACCAATCAGCTTGTTGAAGACGGGCAACCAATGGGATCGATGGTGTACGAATACGAGAAAGTGACGGCGGTTCATGCATGGGAGACGCAGGGGAGCGTGGCAAGATGAAGAGCAGTCTCGCGACCACACTCGAAAGCATGATGAAGTCCAGAAGTCCACACAAGATCAAGGTTGTACATGTAGTATACCGCTGCTGAGCGAATGTATGCATACAGGGGCATGGGGCATCGACGGGTTGAGGGGATGTTGGTGGTGCCGACAAGTAGAGTTTGTTCCAACGCTTGTCTCAGACACACCATCACGTTCAAAGGACGTATGTGCAAGCCTTGGTGGCAATCCAACCGGCCCTCGGACCTCAATACGACAACAACAGCAGTAGTGAGCCAAGGTGGGATGCAGGGCCAGAGCTTTTGACAACACAGATGTTCCATTACCGCGCCGTTCGCTGCCGATGTCAAGTGGTCCTGGAGAGGATGATGCTTTCAATCCCCGAAAACCGCTCAGAAAGCGGGCAGCACACGCATGTTCAGGCAGACTTTTACAGTGGTACACTTAGGTCAAGCGACAGCTGGCTTTCCGGGTTGGTTTACCAACATGGTAAGCCTAATGGTGGACGCAACATCCTCTTACGATGCTCTCCGTCTTTCTGGTGTAGCCGATACCCTCCTCACCCAAGATGGTTGTTGGCCAAAAGAGTCTCCATATCCTTGATCCTTGTGTGAGACGGGGCGGTGAAGGGTGGATTGGGGGAGAACAAGCCTTGGGATACTGCCCACGGTAGCTCTAAGCACGTACTGGAGTCAATATCCTTCCACCTCCCGCGTGTATGGGAGGAGAAAGAGCGCGGGTGCCGACAAGCGATATCAGCAGGGGGTCGGCAGCTGAGACATCTCAGCTCCCGGCAATGGGGGTATCGCAAAATGGAAGGCGGCGAGTAAAAACCTGCGGCACAGACAGAGGCAGGAGGAGGATGCGGATTTCCAAAGCGAGAGATAGAGGAGAAAGGCAGAGAGAGGGAAGACAAGCGGATGGAAAATAGCCAACAGATGAGCTACCTCCTTGCCGTTCCCACATCATGATCTGAATTTTTGAGGGACATTGTTAGATAGACTATGAAGGCAAGGCAACTCCACGTTCATAAAGGCAGAGTTCTTCTGTCTATATTCAAAGAAAACTCGTTGTATCGCGACTAGGGTTAGACTGAATGATCGCCGTCAATAATCACCAGCAATCAAGAGCCAGCAGCGCCAAGTATGGTTCCCCATGCGGTACATGGTCAACACCAACGGTGCTGATGCCGTTGTGGATGGCAACGTTGCTTTGCAAAACGGTCGCAGACAGACGTACCGAACCCGCACAGACAACGACGACCGCTGTTAGCCGTCGGGTTCCGGTTACCCCTGGAGGTCGTCGTCTTGCTTACCTGGCAAAGAAGAACATGGCTCGTCACAAGGGGGGGGGGGATCCCATCTCCCCACCGTCTGTCTAGGACGATTCCCTCTTTGAACCATGTTGGCAACGCAGCTTGGCTCAGGCAAGCGTGCCATCAATCCTCGAATAGATTTCGTTATTGTTTGTTGTCATCGTGCGGGACGGCGCGTAACGACGACGGTTTTGTCACGAAGAAAGCGGTCGGCAAAGACGGGCACCCATCGCCTCCAATAGTCTACTCAATCTGATGTAGAAAGCACAGAAGAGATGGAGGTTCACACAACAACCAATCAATCCCTGCGTGCAAGAGTATGCGTGCTTTCCGTAGTGCATCCTACAGCACTTCGTGTGACACCCACCCACAAGAAGACTCCCTCTTGTCACCACAAACCATTGTTTTTCGTGTGTATGCAATTTCAAGGCCGCAAAAGGAGAAAGTGCGGAGAAAAACAAATGAATCCAGGGTGGTCTTCCTCCTGAGTAACCCCCCCCGGCTGGTGCGTCCAAAAACACACCGAAACATGTCAACATCGACGTCCAGAATACATGGAATGACATGCACACACACACGGTTGCCCCGGTGGTCTAGTGGGTAGCCTTGCAGCCTGCTGAGGACCAGGTTGTGGGTTCGAGTCCCTGCAGAGAGAGTTTTTTTATCACTAACTAAAACCTGGTCTAGGTTGAAAGCGACGCGCTGCAAAGCTCGTTTGTTAGTAAACCATAATCGACTTCGTAAGTCGCGAGGGAAGGGATTGCTGTACCCTTCTCGCGATAAAAATACCTCAGGCATGAACCGCAGGAGGGGGTGACCCCGGTTAGGTCGTCTAGCTAGTAGAAGAGGAGGATAGGGGCCAGAGGGGCAGACGACAGAGTCCAATGATGGGAGAAAAACAAAAACAAAACAAACAAACACCGACAAGCACTCCACTGGTGGAGGAGGGCTCCCTTGTAATTGGAAGCAAGTCTTCTCTTCGCGCAACCTCTCTTCATGGCAATGGCCCCTTGATGATCGTCCCTGCTTTCGACTATCCAAGCATGGCTGGCTGTAATCGTCTATCTTTGCATCGTGTGAGGCTTGCAGCACAGACGATCCTGGCAGTTAGCGGTGCTTCCACTCCAGGCGCCCCCCCCCCGGTAGACCACGCAGCATCGCCACCGTTTACGCCGCGACACACAACCAACCTCTCACCCGACCCCGTTTTCCGCCATCACCCACCCATCCGTGAGAGAATGATCGACAGCACCTCCTTCTTCGGTCATGGATGTCGCACGAAGAAATGGACCCAGGTAAAGAACATCGCTTTACCGCCATAGCTTCCTCATGCACAACAACGACGTTTCGCGCGACGTTGATCGTAGGCTGGTCATCAACTGCTACACGGTGGCGGTTGGTCCGGCGCGCCGGCTTCTACAGCAGGAGGTTCGCCGGCTTGTGCCGCAGAGTCTTCGCCGACCTGTGAATCGGCGTGGAAATGCCAGGATGAAGACGGAAAGAACACCGTAGGCATAAATGCGCAAATGTTGTTGGTACATCCACACGGTACTATTAAGGAGGGGTACACCTTCGCAGTACCCGCTTTGCAGGATTCCTGACGCGTTCGGTGGTGACTCGTGGTGCAGTCGTGTGCGTGAAGCCGTGGCGGGGAATCCTTAGACCATACGTGAAGTGAAAGTACGGTGTGGTTTGAACAATCTCGACCCCCTGACTGAATTGTATGCGGCCCAAGCCAACGATGCCCCCAACTACGTATGATCCTGCACATTTTCTTTTGCGTTTCTGACCAATTGCTCCTCCGACGTTAATCAGCAGGGGCACGAGCGAGGACACATCCGTTTCACAGCTAACAACAACTATGTGTCATCTTTCCAATAAGTTTGCGGTCTGTGACCTTTGGTTAACACCTCCTTTCCCCTTGACTAAGAAACGGCCGCCTCCCTCTCCCCTGCTCCCCCTTGCAAGCAACGCTACTGGGAAGTCAAAAACCGGAACACAGATTAAGGTTACAGGAGCAAATACCAGGGCTGCTACCAACAGTCCAACGGAGCGTTCTAATCCCTACTATCACCGTCCCGAGGGAGCTTTTCATGCGACGAAGCTCTTCTAGACGATGGCCGTAGGAAACGGTTTTTCGAGCCAAGTGTAACAAGCAACGATTATGTCGGAGCCGGATTTTGATGAAACGTACCGTTGTCGAAGTCGTTTCTATCACGAAGGGCTTGTCAACCTCCGCACTCGGTCCTTCGGTCTCTATCTTCGCGGGGTAGCTGGGAACTCATCACGACAAGAGAAAATATCGGAGGTGACGAGGGATGGGAGCAAGAGTGAGTTGACGACGCGGTTCGTGGGCATGCTGGAGCTAGGTAGGGTCTCAGGTTCGAAAGCGAGAGAAGTGTGTGACATTGGTGAGTTTCTTAATGTCGCCCTAGTAGCTGACCTAAAGGGTAGCCGTTGGTGTGAAAAAGCCCTCCTTGAGGCAATTTTTCAAAGCCCGGTTGCTCCACAGGAGAAGTACCAATACACCAATATCGAACCACGATCCGTATTCGAAAGATCGAGATGATGGACTAAGAGTATCGCTGAAATTTGGGGACCAGTGCCTCCTCTCCCACGGAGCAATCGACCTCTGAAATTCGACCCACGGGAGTCTATGTAGTACACACCATAAACAAACACTGTAGCAAAAGTGAGCTACCTGTAGTGTTCTACCGTTGCGCCTTGAATGGTGGTTCCTGGTGAAGGACATATCAGGTACGATATGCGGTAACATCGACCGATTATACAGCATGTTTTCGAGTAAAAAGTGGTGCCTCAAGGGATGAAATTCCAAAACTGTGCCGTACCACTGCACACGTGATTGATTGTTTGTCGTTGCCAAAAAGCACCCACCAGAGGTCACATTGCAGTCTTTCAGGAGGTGATCTGGTCCGATTTCCGAACTTCTAAACTATGAGCCGACTACCGAACATCTTGGGTGTCGCTCGCCGAGAGCCTTTCTTATGAACACACATGAACATATCTACCAAAAAGAGGAATGACAGGTTTCGTTCATGTTACAACCTGGTGCACCCAATCATTTTTCGGCAACCGAGGCATACACCACCTGCCATCGTCGCCTTCTGCAGCGTCGGCCTTTTCAGCCGTGCTCGTTTTCATGGATCTCCCCAGCATGCCCATGAGCTGCACCGTCATGATGGTTGCCTTGAACTTCCGTCGCGCGTTGTAGGCCTTCATCGCGTTCTTGAAGTGGTTCAGGTTGTGCTCTCCCGCCTCGGTGTGTCCTTGCGCCACCCACGGGTGTTGCAACAGCTGAAGGGCAGGACGGAGCGGGGTGTATGGTCAGGACATTACATCGAGGTGGTTGAAACAGCCAGTAGGTTTTAGCTCTTGTCAGCTTGTTTAGTCTCGCCGTGTGGGTAGCGTTGCTGAACCCTTCATCGGGGAGGTTGTGGTAGAATGTTTTCGTCCCGAGTGTTAACGTGAAAAAGGTCTAAGAGCTTCAACGAGCAAGAACGGCTGGTCTGGAATGAAACGTGATTCTTTGGCTATGGAGATGGTGTTTGGTGCGGGGGGCAAGTTATTCTTGTAGAGGAGGTCAACATCTATCGCAGCACATAGAGAGTTGTAAGGCCACTTTATTTACAGGTTGGTTTTGGTAGCGCAGTTGTGTCGATGCAGCTCCTGGCGCTAACTGTTGGAAGATCTAGAAAAGCGATGGCAACCACGAAGTTAGCACAACACAGCGGTTTTGGTACCTGAGTCGCCATTCACCCCCTAACCACGCGCGCCATCTCCCATTTGCCTCGTAACTTGTGATTGGTTGAAGTGGTATCGCGCAGCACCTTCACATTCGTACGATTCGAAAACCTTGCACTGCTACCGCCCCTCACCTGTTCTGCAGAATACCGCTTTGCGGCGTCGGTGACCAGGAGGCAGTCGATCATGTCCTTCGCCTCGCACTCGACGTCATCCCAGAACGGACTCGGGAAGTCGTACTTGCCTAGCTTGATCGCCTTGAACATGGCCTGATGGTTGAATCGAAAAGTTGTTGCCCTGCCCGTGAGGAATATGTTGGTTATCTTTAAAATGTTCGTAGGCGCCCGGACGAAGTTTAACTCCGCCATGGGTTCATCAACACGAGTATTGCACACTACGGTGTGCAGGTGTGAACGATGACAATCCCATCGAAACGGTGGGGGGGAGTAGCAGTCTGACCACGGACAAAGATACGCGCACACATGCTGCGAGGGGGTATCCGTCGACCCGCGTTGCCCCAATAGACGCGACAGCAAAATCTTCGGCAAAAGAGATCAAGCATTTGCCGAAACATCAAAAGCAAATGCAAAAATGCGACTCCTTTTACCGAGTTGTTCTCGTCGTAGAATGGAGGGAAGCCGCACAGAAGGATGTACGCGATCACCCCGACGCTCCACATGTCCACCTCCTTGCCGTAAGGCCGGCCCTCCAGGATTTCAGGCGCCACGTACCCCGGCGTGCCGCACGCCGTGTTCAGCATGGTGTTCTCCGTACAAAGCTGTATGGTCATGCGGGCCAGAGGTTCAAGCGGGCAAGTCGTCGGTATTGCGACGAAACAGTCACGGTGCCAGGACGGTCTACGGAGTAAATCGGGGAACATAATGCTGAGAGTGTTGTACTTCGTGGGCGTGTTTGCTTCGTGTGTCGTAGAAGACAAGGCTACTTACTCACTCGCTGCGGCGATGTACACTTGTGCACAAGTGTGGTTTCACGGGGCGGCGACAGGTTGTCCGCAACAAAGGAGATGTATTTCTGCTGTTAGCCGTACAGATACTCCTCGACCGATCCACTCCATTTAAGACACCGAGGGTACTCTCTTCCTCCCGCAGCTAGGGGTCTCCCTGCAAGAACACAACAGGCGGGCCATCCCGACGAAGTCAAGTCTCACCTTAGCAAGGCCGAAGTCGGCGAGTTTGAGGACGGCAGTTCCTTCATCGAAGTCACTATAGAGTAGATTCTCGGGCTTGAGATCTCTGTGGACTATTCCATTCTGGTGGCAATACATTATCGCCTTCGTTATCTGAATGATGCAATCTCGCGCCTCATTCTCTGTGTAGTGGTCCTGTAGATGGGCATATATAAGAAAACGCAGCATGTGTGTAGTTTGAATCACACGTAGCTAACTAAGTGGTGTGCCCTTGCGTAAGTGATGCGCAATGCATCAGCCTACGATCCTCCTTGCACTGGAGGAAATATTGATCTTTGCGGCGTGGACTCAGCGAGGTTTGTTGACCACGGGCCTTCCGCCTGAACTCTGCGTGTGTTGGCTGTTGTTATTGCAACCATTACTACTTTTGTGCAACTATGCATACGACGGACCTCGTGGGATCATTTGGTCGCCCCGCCGCGAACAATTGTTCGCAAAAGCAACGAGTTGCTTGAAGCACATAATGAAGCTACTAGTGTTTGTAGCGGTTCCTCACAGTGCGGAGACCAGCAGTCGGTGTTCGCACACATCACCTTCATGACGATGCGATCGAACAACTCCCCCCCGGTGCACAGCTCCATGACCATATACAGACAGTTTTGGCAGTCGAATACTTGGTTCAATCGAACGATGTTGGGGTGATCCATTGCCTGCATGTGAGGTAGCAACAGAGATGGCGCTGTTAGCACGAAATGCGGAGAATGAACCAATCCATATCGTAACACAATAAAATGTACGTGATTCCATGTTGGACCGTCCGCCCTGACAACACTGACAGGAAGTGCACCCTTAACTGCACGTCAACTACGTTTCCATTCGATAGCGTGCGGGACAACACGTCTCCTTCTTGAGATCATCGCAAGCAGATTTTCGGAGGAAGTCAACCGTTCCTTGTCAGTGAACGTCATGGCAGGGTCCTCGTGAAGTTAGGTCATATCAAGGCCACAACCTAAGGAGCTCATATGTTCCGTCGAATTTGGACGGTTGCCTCACCCCCAGAATTTGAACTTCGTTCTTCAGTGCTTCCTCGTCCTCCTGGCTCAGCACCGTTTTCTCGATGACCTTTACCGCCCACTTGGTGCCATCCGACTTTCGCACAGCTAGCTTGACGGTGGCAAATGACCCCTTGCCAAGAATCCTTAGGTGAGGGAATAACAGTGACACAAGGAGTGTCGCGCACGACCGTTGGTCGGCAACAGCTTTCATGTGGTTGATAACTTCGGGCTCCCGCAAACCCCAAAATATTTAACGCTACACTTGTAGGCATATGTGACATCCAACTACTGCTGTAGACTAGTCTACGTGTCTGACGGATGTCCGTCTGTAGATAGAATCAAGTGCTTGTCGCACCACACAAATATCCACACATCTCTCACATAACCAAAAAGATTTGTAGTCAACACGTAAATTGTGTAATATTATAGTTCGAAAATGTCCAATTATGGCAAGACAAAATACAACATACTACATGGTCTTATGGCTCTCTCAGACAATAAGTAGTACCGTAGATGTTGACAGAGGTGCACAGCAAACACCCGAGACAGTCAGGAATCTGTTCAATAGCGATCAACCGCGGGTAATACATGGTCGATACGATATGTTCTCTGCTGAAAGATTGTGCCCGCTTTGACTACTAACGCAACGGCGAGTGAGTGGTTCGATGGGTTCGCCCTGCCAACTAATAGTGTGAGAAGTTCAGACGTTTTGATGTATCATGGATTGCGTTCTAGACGACTGCTTGGCCAGTATCTGGTGCGGAACTACAGCACTTTTAGTACATAGTCTACACGTGTGGAAAAGAGGGTTTCGTCCTCGACAGACGTTGGGGAGTTTCGATCTTTATGAAGGTGTTCTCCACATTACCCCCCCCTTTTTCGAGGCTTCTTGTTTGCTAGGCAAGAGAAGTCTTCTTGGGGTAACCGAAACCCGACCGGCTGGCGGCGAGTAGAACCACCTTTTTTCCAACAATCTTCTGTGCGTGTGTGCGGGTGCACCACTTCCGCCACGCATTGCCAGAAGTTTCGAGTTCGATAGACAGTGCATCGTTTCTTGGCCCACCCACCGTTTTTCTTTTTCCGTACTCCGGAAGAAAATTAGGTGAGCAGCGGGTTTTGAACCGCTGTCTTTTGCAACCAAAAGCAGACACCTGACATAGCACTATAGACTAAACACGCAGCAGTATAGTCTATGCACGCAACAGCAGTATTGTTGGGTAAACGACCTGTTTGTACGTTATACAATAAGTAGTAGGCTCACCCTGCCCCAAAGACAGATTGTAAGCTTGTTTGTTTCACCGACGGAAAGCCGAATGACAGAGCCTTGCAGCAGGTAATCGTCACACCTTGTCAGGTTGTAATACTTCTGGCAAGAATCCTTGGTAAAGACCGACTTCAGTCTCTCCATCCTCATCTTTTCTCAGCAGCAGCAGCGGCCGGGGCCGCGTCCAAAGCTTCGTCTCGGGCTCAAGCGAGGCAGAGGGTTAGAAAGACCTGCTTGTGTACAATTTAATTCATACAGAGCGATGATCGATCATCAGATAATCCACCATGTAGGTGCATTTTTTTCGTTGTGTGCCTACGTCGTCTGGACCGGTGTACACAGCAGTTCCGCGGTGTGGGCGTTTCACGTGAACCGGTATTGTCTCCCCGCCTTTGTTCTTTTTTTCGCTGGGGGGGTGCATCGTTTCGTTCCTCGTGCCCCCCAACGAGTGCCTAACCTGGGGCAGGGCCCGAGCAATTCAACGAGAGGAACAGCAGCAGTGAAGAGGACGAGATCGAAGTATTTACTGATTTTTTTCTCATAGACATGTCGGAACCAGACCCGGGAGTCCCTCCGACACAGCAGTTGAACGTAGAGCAGCAGCCTTCTCCGCACAACAACGGCAGTTTAAGCGCTCCCCCATCTGCAGCAACATCATCACCGGCAACAGCAGCGACCAACACGGAGCAGGCAACCTCTTCCGCTGCCACTCCCACATCTGCCGCTGCTTCTTCTACTGCTGCTACGACTGCTAGCACTGCTGTTGTTACCAGCACTGCTGTTCCCGCGGCAGCAGATGAAGCTCGGCAAGATCCGGTGCCAGCAGCGGGAGAAACGAAGGATGGGCCAGGGACAACTTCAGCCCCCGCGGCGTCAGGGGCAGTGAAAAAGGAGGGGGGGTCGCAACCACGGTCGGCGAAGAGGCCGAGAGACACTCCTTTACCGGTACGCGCTTGACGTTGCTTTGACAACCCAGCAGCATGATCCGCGGCATATCTTTTACCCTCACGTTGTTAGATAACACCCTCCCCCCTCCCGCGGACAAATCACGTAATCTGTGGTCATCTGTGGTACAAAATAAAGGGGTCCAGCCGGCCGGTTTCCCTCCACTCACTGAAAAGACTTGAGCACACCCCTTTCGACTAGGATTATAGCTCGAACGGGTAGTCTTTCTGTGAGATTATGTCTACCTTCTAAAAAGTCATGGGGCAGATGTTTTACGGGTCCTACACAGATGTGCCTCTCGCGCCTCGCAGTCCCACGTGATTTGGGTGGCTGCGAAAGTTCCCGTCCAACCATCAGCTGCCAGCGTTTTCGGGCGGGGATAGAGTAGGGTGAAGGGTACCTGTCTCTCCCTCATGAGTAGGAACGGTGCCCCATGTGAAGACAGGCGCCTGGTCGATAGTCCAAACAGATGAAACTGCCTAAAAACACGCCATCTCCGTTGTACGGGTACCGGAAATGGCGCTTCTTCTTGCCTGAGGACCACTCGTGTTGCCTTCCCGCGAAGAAATTTACAACATGTTACAGCAGCGGCAAGAACTACCGAACGAATCAAAAACTTCGGGCGCTGTAGTAAGCCGGCCACGTCTCAATTTTCGACAGCAAGCTACGTGACAGCTGTAGTTCCCGGCGGGGAGGCAAGCACGAACGTTGGCGCTCCCAGAATCAGCAAAGCTCCCGTCAAACCGCCAACAAATCCGTGCGGGGGGCGACCGGAAGGGGTAGCAGTGGAGACCGCACCTCCTCCAAGCGCAAGCCCGAATGTGACTTCATGGGTTGTAGGGGGTCGGTCGAACACGAACCTCGCCTTGCTCGCACATCTCGTTCGTTGACTATTTTCGTCCCTGGCTTCGGTGTTGGACCATCATCGTGTGCGGGTTCCAGGTGGGACTACCCCCGAGCATGGTTCGGCGCATCATGAAGCTCGGCGAGGAGACGCGAAACATTTCCAAGGAGGCTTTGGTCATTGTTGTCAAAGCCAGGTGCGAGAGACTCTCTCAGCCTCGGTCTTCGACGACGCGGGCGTTTGTCGCGAGCAATCTCTGTAGGGTAGGTGTCGATGTATCCTCACTCGAAGCCGGCTCTTCGAAGCCGGCTTGATGTTCCAAGTCTTGCAAATGGTTTCCATCGCAACCAAAATGCTCTGTTTTGCACCATCGCTTACTAGGACCAAGGTGTATCCTTCTTCTTTTTTTTTTGCTCTTCATGGTGAACACCATGTTTTAGGTCAGATTATCTCTTTGGCTCCGCCCGTCGCCGCAAGCTTGGCCTGAAACGCAATGTTATGTTGCTGGACGCATGTAAGAGCGCAATCAATCTACTGCTTTGACTTTGCTCTGCCGTGTGTGACTGAGGCGTGCACTTCAACGAAGCCGCGGAAGTCGAGCCTCGTACCACCACGTGAACGCCCTACGATCTGCATCAACATCTACCGTATATGACACAACATAACACACCCCTTTGATCAATTTTCGAAGCTCGATTTCTCAACTGCAGGAACAGTCACAGCGCCGAAAACGGTGGCGTTGAAACCGTCTCGTCGAGAGCTTTTCGAAAATGTATCGTTTCGTTTATGCATCCTATTCGTCGTGAAGTAATCGAGCGATGAAAATCGATCCAGGGGGTGTGTTATCTTGTATCATATTTCTCACCGATCCTACGATGTCAGTGCGTGCCATCGTGCATTTGTTGTTGTATCGTTACTCGTGGTCTAACCCTAAGTATTGTGTCATATCGAATACAATAGTCGATACGATCTCGATCATAGCGAAAGAATCGAGCCGTAGGGGTGACGCTGTGCGAGCCCGTCGCCCCCCCCAGACTGGGAAGAGGGCCCCGATAGGGACGTGCAATTCCGGTTCATTCCCCTAATGATTGCCTCGTACGACCCCCTGAGACGGACTGTGCATAGACTTTGTTGGGTTGAGGAAAGTGCTTTAGTCTTGATACGTGTTTCAATCTCAGTGGCCACACATCGCACATGCAAGCTCCAACACATGCTGTTGTTTTTGTGGTTCTCACATAGCCCTCTCTGGTCAGTACCTTTTAACATCGTCCAACTGACGCGTACGCCTTCTTTGGTCTTAGACCAACCGCCCAAAAGAATACACACGTCGACAACAATCTAAGTAATATATGAGTGAAAACAACAAAAAAATGATGCATTTTCAAGGTTCCGTGGATAACTTGGGGGGCTCCGTGGGGGTTATTATTTTTTTCAGTTTTCGTTTCGTATCGAAACTGAAACACAACGGTACGATTTTTTACACCATGCGTCGACACGACGCGCCATTTCGATACGATATGTATTGTATCATGTATCGATATGAAACACGAATCCCTGATGCCCTTCCGACCACCCTGTCGTAAATCCACCCACTTGCAACTTTCCTGTCCTACCAGCGAGATTTTCTTGGAGAAGTTCGCTGCGAGGGCGTTCGATCACGCCGAGAAGCTGGGAAGAAAGACAATCAAGTACAGAGATGTCAGCGACGTCCGGTTGGAAGACCCCAACCTCTTGTTCTTGGAAGCGGTCGTGCCCCCCTAAACCAAGCCAACCTTCGGGGGTATCAATGTCTGGGGGCCTGTGGGTCTGAGCGACGAGCAACACTAGACACTTGCACCAAGGCAATCGGGACAGGAACGGGAGACAAGTGTTCCACAGCTACTCCGAAGGCTTTACGAGAAATCGTGACAGTCTCGAATGGGAATAGGAGACAACGGTTTCACAGCTACCACTTTCGAGGAGTCGGGAGAAACGCCAAGTCAGCCGTGCTTTTGGCTGCTGCTGTTAGTACAGCCAGGCCCCACACATGAGACCCTCCTGTTGTGGCAGAGGCTTGTTAGTTAGCTTGCCTCATGAGCTATCTATCCCCACGGCGACTATTTAGGTTCTAGCGTAGGCTCCTGACGGAGTACCTGCGTTTAATGACCAAGTTATTTTATTTTGGAAATTTCGAGGCTCGAGTTCTTAACTACCAAGCGCTCTGAAGTGCAGGCCAGTTCTGTATGTGAACCCCGTTGCCAGGGCAGAAACAATTCCCCGACGACTCAAGCTTGCCCCGGAGACGGTGAGTCGTACCCCCTTTGTTCATCGCGGTAGTTTATCTGTAAGCACCTTGTCCCGGAGAGCAGGAGGTGGTTCAGTTGTTTTTGGCGTTTTGGGGGACAAGCCGTTGTGAATCTGGGGTCTGTCCAACGAAGCTGCCACATTGTTTGAGTGTGGTACATGGATATGGGTATGTATATATATATATACGAAGTATTTTTTTTTCTCCCATCATCGGATTCTGTCGTCTGCCCCTCTGGCCCCTATCCTCCACTTCTACTAGCTAGACGACCCAACCGGGGTCACACAGGAGGGGGGGGTCGGACCACCTCGTGCGGTTCCTGCCTGAGATATTTTCATTGCGAGAAGGGCACAGCAATCCCTTCCCACGCGACTTCATTGTCCACAAAAAATGGTGAGCCCGTGGTCTCACAACCCGGCACATACGACACCGCGGGGAAACAAAACAAAATTAAGGTACAAGCCACTCAGAAAAAGAAAACAAAATTATATAATAGAAAACGGTAGTGTTATATACGACACCGGTGTCGTACTTCCTTATATACGACACCTACCATTTCTTGGCCCACAGGGCTCCAATCGGCGTACAACAAAATGCGCTGTGTAGCCACGGCCCGCAGCTATCAGCCCATACCATTTTGGGTCAAATCGGCCAAGTGGTTGAAGAGATATCTTAGAAAAAGGGGGCTCAGCAGCATCGCAGGGTTAGGTTCTACCACAAATACGACTGTAACTCCGCCCCCAGAGCTCCAATCGGCGTACAATAAAATGCGCTGTGTAGCCACGGCCCGCAGCTATCAGCCCATACCATTTTGGGTCAAATCGGCCAAGTGGTTGCGGAGAAAGAGCCGATTATAGGGGGCTCCGCAACTTACCGGGGGGGTGTCAGCGACGTTCCGGTCATAACTCCTTGCACAGACATCGCCTGATCGCACGTAAACTCGCGATGAGTAGGTACAGGCCAGAGCTATCGTTCAAGCCGCTGTGGGGCGAAATCCACCCAGTCAGTGCCATGGTACGCCTACACCCGGCTGGACGGTGTCCCCAAGGGCGGTGTCGTAGATAAGCTTATATACGACACCGCCCGTTTCTCGCCACACACGGCGCCGATGGACACCACACCACGTGCACTACATTGGTATGGCCCATAGCTACTGTTCAAGTGGCGGTAGAGGTCTGTGTCCATTGGTAGTGGTTTATAAGTAAAGAATTGATCGACAAAGGGGCACCGCAGTTCACACTGTGCGTCGTTGTTTTTCCGTTTGAGTTGCCTTGAGCATACCTCAGAAACGAAAACACGAAGAAAACACCACACGGCGTATNCGCCGTAGATAAGCTTATAGACGACACCGCCCGTTTCTTGGCACACACGGCGCNACACCGCCCGTTTCTCGCCACACACGCCGATGGACACCACACCACGTGCACTACATTGGTATGGCCCATAGCTACTGTTCAAGTGGCGGTAGAGGTCTGTGTCCATTGGTAGTGGTTTATAAGTAAAGAATTGATCGACAAAGGGGCACCGCAGTTCACACTGTGCGTCGTTGTTTTTCCGTTTGAGTTGCCTTGAGCATACCTCAGAAACGAAAACACGAAGAAAACACCACACGGCGTATTCGGTGCCGCCCGCCACGTTTCCGATGTACGCAGCCGCACTGGTAGTATTTTGGAGACAAGGTGGATTTACATATATCGTAAAATCATCTGAACTACGTTACTATGTACATTCATGACGCGAACGAGGGGGGGG